CAACCTGGTTAAAATGTCATATTTAATTATCTTAAAGATAAATCGTCCAGCTCAAACCTTTGTAGGGGTAAGAGGTGGGACCATCATCATCATCATATCTAATTTGTGTAGTTTTTATTATTAGGTTAAACATATTATAATTATAGAAATTTTTACTTAATTTATTTTTAATTTTCATGTTCTAAAAATTTTATGAAATGACTGTCTAGGAAGGATCTCAATTTTATCTTAGTCTTAGAATTATGACAATTGATCTAATTTCATTGAATGTTAAGATTTGTACATCGACCTATATCTTGAACATTTTCCTAAGTCCTAAATGTATGAAATTTATGTTGTGTGCACTTTACCTTGAAACATGGTAAATAAATAAAGTTATAAAATTCAAACTCTTTAAATTTAATTTTGGTTCCTATGTCTGATAATGAAATATTCAAAATCTTAATAAAAACCTTATAACAATATTCATGGAGTTACCTAGCTCTGAGAATTTTCTTAAGTTTTAGATGCTTAGTTTTATGACATACGGACGCTATGTGATTTCATTATAAAAAGCATGAACAAACGATCATTGCATGTTCAAAATCAGTAAGCTCGAAGTTTAAATCGTTGTTATGAAATAAATATAATCAAATTGTAATGTAATATGTAATATTATTCACGAGTTTTTACTTAACGTAGCGTAGCAAAATAAAATACAAGCTACAAGCCCCCCTTCCTTAGGCCCCCTCCAGAAAAAATTTCTAGCTACGCCAATGCCCACTCCCCTCTCAAATGGTACGTCGTATATGCATTTACTCTAATAAATGATGTGGTTTTTGCATCAACTAATTATAAAATTTGTAAAAATCAATTTAATATTATTCCATTTAAAATCAAAAACATTTTTTTTCATTATTGCCTTAGAATTCCGGATTATCATGGGATTCATTTTAAACTCACAAGATACCTAGCTTTTCTCGTACCATGAAATGATCTTCGGAATTTCTTTGAAACTCCCCTAAGAATTTAATTGGAATCCTCCATAGGTTAGGTTAGGTTATCTTTATTAGCGAAACTTTCAGCCAAAGGCTTGTTAATCTCTTATCCTCCATTGAAGTCCTCCAGGGAATTCAATTCCTTTGAGAAATTTTTCGACATTTCAATCAAACCTCTTCTCAGGAATCCTCTTCCTTTTGAGATTACTCGGAATTCCGTTTACAATTCCTTTTGAATTATCATTAAAATTCTCTTGGAATTATCATTAACACTCCGAATACGATGCCTCTAAAAAGCGTGGCTGGTGCCCATAGCCATTCGGGCCATAATTATGACATGACCCCAAATTCATTCATGTATCACAGTTCCTAATATTTTTGAAAAAAAAATTGTGGAACTCTAGGATTAGTTTCATGGATTTACCAGTTTTACGGATGTTCAGGATGATTCAGAGGACGGTCCCATTGCCATCTGGATGCATTTTTAAGTCACGACCCAAAATTCTTACTTATATCACAGTTCAAATTGAACTGCAGAGCTCTAGGATCAGTTTCACAGATTTTACGGTAGTCCCGGATCTATTGGAAGTCCCATGGCCATCCGGGTTCATGTTTACGTCATGACCCTAAATTCTATCTTATATCAAAGTTCAAAGAGTTTTCGAAAAAACGCGTTAGTTCACAGTTTCATGGATGAACTACTTTTTCGGATCTTCCGTCCAATGGCAATCCAATTCCATGTTTATGTCACGACCCCAAATTCATTCTTATATCTCAGTTCGAAATGTTTTCGAAAAAACCGCGGAGCTCTAGAATCAGTATCATGGCTGGAGCACTTTTACGGATCTTCCGGAGAACGGTCTCATGGTCATTCAGGTCCATGCTTATGTTACGACCCCAAATTATTTCGTATAACACAGTTTGGATCAGTTTCGGATGTTCCCGATATTCCAGACGACGGTCCCATGGCCATCCAGGTCCATGATTATGTCATGACCCCAGTTTCAAATTCTGTTAAAAAAAACCGTGGAGCTCTAGGATCAGTTTTGTGGATTGGGTGTTAAGGGTGTTCCAGATCTTCCGGAGGTCCGATGGCGTTCTAGGTACATGTTTATGTTACAACCCCCAATTAACTTATATATGACAGTGTGAAGTATTTTCGAAAACCCGCAGAGCTCTAGCATCAATTTCATAGGTTGATTATTTTTATGAATGTTCCGGATCTTCCAGGGGACGGTCCGATGGCAATCTGGTCCATGTTTATGTAACGACCCCAAATTCTATATTATATCAAAGTTCCTAATGTTAAAAAAAAAACCATGGAGCTCTAGGATCAGTTTCGTGGATTGTCTACTTTTACGGATGCTCCGGATCTTCCGGAGGACGGTTCAAAGGCCATCAGGGTCCATGTTTATGTCACGACCCCAAATTCATTCTATCAGCATAGTTCCTTGTGTTTTTCAAAAACTGTGCAGCTCTAGGATCAGTTTCATTAATTGGCCTTTTTACGAATATTCCCGATCTTCCGGAGGAAGGTCCCATGACCATCCAGGTCCATGTTTATGTCACGACCCACATTCTTTCTTATACCACACACACTCAGGGCACCTAAATTTACATGAATTTTTCTAAGTGTGCAGTTCTTAATGTTTTCGAAAAAACACGGAGCTCTAGGATCAGTTTCGTGGATTGCCTACTTTTACGGATGTTCTGGATCTTTCGAGGACCGTTCCGTTGTCTCCTGGATTCATATGTAGGAGCCATGACTATATTCTGGCTAATTATGAACATTTGTGGCCAATAATCTAAATTATAGATCTTAAGCCAGTTGCAAAACCCATAAGCACACCTTTAAAAAATAAACGTGTTACGACTCTTTTCACTAAAAAAAAGAATGCAAGCCTAGTTTCAATATTGTTACAATCAAATTAATCTACAGACTCTAGGAATTTTAGAGGTACAACACTTTTTGAAATTCACCAAGAAATGGCAAAGTTATGCCATTGCAAACTTGCCGTTAAACGCTTTTCGGAGGCTTCGTAGTCGGCGTAAGGTTTTTTACCCACCGTATTCGTAATGTTGGGAAATGTTCAAAATCCGTCTCATTTGTAAGGGGTACGTGGGCAGATCACAATTTGAAGTAAGTAGTGATCTTCTTGTTTAATAACATTGGAAATGTATTGCTCAAAACTTATTTATTTGCTTGATAGGCCGAACTAAACCTATGGCATGTATTAAATGCTCCCAGGAAACTGACACAACAATTCACATTATAATTCATAAAACATGGCTGTTAGCAGTTGCATTGAGTCCTCAGAACCTCATTGGTTACACCTGGTATGGTACGGCCAAGGATGAAAAGCGTAATAATCAGGAATTTTATATATTTGGCATCATCTAAATCCTTAGCTGCAATGATTAACACAGTATCATCTGCAAAAAGATTAATATCACAAAATCGTAAAACACGTTGCAAGTCATTAATATACACAATACATAACAGGGGCCCTAATACACTTCCCTAGGGCACTCCAAGGTTATTCCCCACGGGACTGAAAACAGAATCATTAAAAACCGTCCGTTGAGTTCTGTCAGACAAATAGCTTTCAAACCATTCATATGCAGTACTCGTTATTCCAAAGCGCTTGATTGATCTTATCAATAAGGACCTAGAAATTGTTTCAAAAGCGATCCAAAAAACAGCAACAATCGTATCTTTACACTCCAAGTTATTTTTTTCACTTCGCTAATACCAAATTCAACGCGATTTCACAAGAATGACCTTCCCGATATCCCGATTGTTCTGGTATCAACAAACTATTACTATTTAAATACTCCTGGCCTTTAACAACAAGTTCCAAAATTTTCTCTAATATGTCCAACATGTTGATGGGATGAAACTCTTCGGCTTTTATCAACATGGGTGGTTGTCTGTTTGCCATAAAATTTCTAAAAACTTCTAAAATTTCCATTTAAAAGAATATATCTCGGTTCAGTGAGCAGATAGAAAAAATCTTTCGTTAGAAATAGTAATCTGTATAAAATTTTCTACAAAACTACAAACAAGGAAGGCAAACATTGGTAAATCCTTTTCCTTATTTTTAGTTGAAAATTGACGCCATAAAAATTAAACAAAATTAACTTTCTTGACCCAATTCAATACCAAACTTTGTTTTTGGAGTCTTATACTGCAATAACATGGTATTGGGCTACTTTATATGATGCATTTTCTTAACCTTTTGAACACATTTTTCGGAAGTGTCCTGAAAAAAATAAAGCGTGCAACCTCTAAACATTTTTTTAAAGATTTTACACGGTATTGATTATAATAGCCTAATCTATTAATCTGTGGGTGAGCAAGCTAACTATTAAAAAAAGTATTTTACGATATTCTTCTTCTTCTTCTTCTTCTTCTTCTTCTTCGCATTTCAAGCTTATCACTTGTAGCATTTTACCTTATTGCGTGCTTTCAACTTAGTGTTCTTGATGCACTTCCACCGTTATTAATTGAGAGCTTTTGATGCCTGTACCATTTTAGCATTAGTATAAATATGTGGCAATTAAAATCATACTCTATTGCCCAAGGAAGTTGCTAAGGATAGTTTAAAGAAGTTGTACAAGCTTTTATGCGAATGTATTACAAGTAATGTTTCCATGTTTGGCTTGTAGGAAGGTTGTGGAGCAAGAAACACACAAGACATTTTATTTTCTCTACTAGAACTTCTGAATTTTTCCGCTTCTATCATTATCTTTGAAATCCCCAGTTATTCTTATTTTATTTTGCCCAATGCGTTCATCATCAATTTAGATAAAACCGTATCCATTTATCATGTCGTCTACCAACGATGCTCCGTTTCCACGAATTTGACTTACTTTGCGATTAGAGCTCCAATCTCTCTCTCTCCATTAATTTATAAACATCCTTCCTAAAAGGCCAAAACAAAAAAAAAAGTATTCCGCTTCGTTTACATAATATTCTTAACGAACTCACGTTTTTCCTCCATCATCTTTTTTTCACTACAGGCTTCAGCGTCGGTGACGATCTGGGCTTAGCCGAGTCGCTCGGCAACGTCGAGGCCAACAAACGGCGAGCGCTGAACGTCCGGACCGGTGCCGGTGTCAACAACATTGGGGTGCTGCCTGCGTCTAAACAGCCGGTAAGTGCAGGATGAGAGTGCGGCGGAACAGAGAAATGCTGTGTGGGTCTTGATGTGGGATAAAAGCTATTCTCTAGCCGTGAGGTGTCTCTGGGTGTGCTCTTAGGAAAACAAACCGCAGCGTGGGGGAATGTGGCGAGAATGTGCGACTGAAGGACTTTCACTTTCATTGAGTTATTTAATGTGGTCCGTTAATATTTTTTGTGGGATTGCAGGGAGGTATGATGGGGATGGTGATGACGGCACTCTGACGACGATGATATGAGAGAGATAAGAGAAAAATGGAAAATAAATGGTGATGCTGAGCTGTCATGTGCCGGAAAACCGTTCTTGACGGGTAGTTAAATAAATGGGACAGCGAACGAATATGAGAACAATGTTGATTTCCATAGGTGCACCGAAATTTATGGCTGTCGGATGTAGGAAATTCGTGACAGAAAAGAATGGCGCTCATTTATCATATTTGTTTTATATTGTACAAAGGGACAAACGTAATCATCATAAAAACAGTGTGTTTTAAATTAATTTTGGAAAAAATATCGGTTATCATACATCATCTGAAAGAGCTTCGTTTTCCGAGAACAATGATGTTGTGCTGATTCCATGGACCTTCACCTATTCAGTAAACAATTCTATGTGGTCTGAATCGGCAATTTAGCATGCAAAAATATTTACTCCGTCCCTATTTATTTTAGGGGGTTAATTAATTATAATTAATTTATAAAAATGATGATTAAAGTGGTCCTTATTTTAACTTAAATCGGGAATCTAACGTTTTTGTTTTAAGTATGTGTGGCTACATTCGATTTACGGTTTAGCGACTTGCAGTCAAATTAATTGTTTGTAAGAAAGTTTGAATATACTAAGGGCACCGGGGGGATTCGAACCCACAATTCCCAATTGCCAATTATACAACGGTGGACCTATATGGTCTATGGATGTATTTCGCTAATGACATTTGAGTTTCGAATCCTGTAGGTGGCTACATTCTGCAGCGAAATTGCAGCAGAAATTATTTAAATCATCTTTGCTGAATACACCATTTATCTTCATTTGACCATGCTAAATTGAGTCATGAGTGTTTTAGTAGAATAAATGTATACCTTATTACGTTTAAAAAGAGAGAGAGAAGGATTAGTAATTTCCATTTAATTCCACTACCTTATTTGCTTATCCTTGACAGATAACATCAAGTATTAGTACAGTGGAGGCGAACCAGCCCAAGGCTGAAAGCCTCATTAATAAAGTTAAATAATAATAATAGTATTAGTACAAGAAACTGAAGAAGCCTGCTCATTGTAGACGAAATACGCGTATCTGTCAAGGATAAGCAAATAAGGTAGTGTAATTAAATGGAAATTACTAATCCTTCTATATCTCTTTATACAGGTATTCTACTAAGACGCCCACATTCATCAGGATTCTTATGACGTTGTTTTTCCATTAAATTTCACTACTATTGTTTCACTTTCACTACTTACTTTCACTATCACTTAAAAAAACTATAACATATACGTATTTCGTTTACTACTTGCAAACTTCTTCAGTGTCTATGACTAGACCGCTGTGTTATGGGTTAAAATTACTTCTTATTTTTGAATGTTAAGTTATACCCAAATACTATGTTGAGTAAAAAAGTGCCCCATAATTTTCTCTACAACTTATCTGAATAACACTTTTTTGAAACATTTGAAACTAAAAAGTCAGAAAATACTGATTTTTTTAGGGAACCCTAAGTTAAAGTAGAAAAATAGTTGTGGCATGAACAAATGAAGAGCTAGATATTTATTAAAGCTTGAAATAATGATTTGTTCTACAACTTTGCTGAAGAATGTAGCTACCTATAAGTTAAAACAAAAAAGTTAGAGTAACGACTTAAGTTAAAATGAGGCCCATTTAATTATAAACAACTTCTACGAAGACACTAAATGTTTGCGCCGATTATGATTCTCATTGATTCCCTACAAATTCTTCTGAGAGACAAATTGGTTACAATCAACGGTTTTAGAGTTATATTTTTTGAAAAAAATGCATATGTGAAAACACATACGCCCTTTTGAAACCTAGTCTTGCATCGAAATGATCTCTTGACCAACGGAAAAAAATTTCTGCTATACCGCAGACATTAAAATCGGAGATGATTATTTGGCAGATAATTGCTCCATTGGGAACAAGGAATTTCCTAAATCTTGGCGTGCGCGAGAGCAGCAAATTATGCCCTGCACGATCCAATCAGATTCAATGATTTCTTCGATGTCAAAATTTCTACGGTTGCTTTTCGTTACCGAATTCAACGGAGTCTGCACGAGAGTTGAACCGATCCGAACATTTGGATCAACTCGACGTGGAATGATGGGTGAAATTGCATTATGCAATATAGTATTCCACTTTGTGACGAGATTTGCTTGCAACGATGGGCAATGACAATTATATATTTGGGTGCTGATGTCGGGATTTTATGCCACTTTAGCTTTTCCCCATCCAATATCCTAATTCCATTAGGACATCATTCAAAGCGAGTGCATGCAAATTCGTTGACAGGAAAAAATTCATTTGAGCAGCGAGTTGTTACCAGATTATGCATCGGGCACACTCGGTTGACTCACTTTCATGTGCTGGAAAACAAATCTCCACCAATGTGTCGCTTTTGTGGAACTCAACTTACTGTCATATACTTGTAGATTGCAAAGGATTTTTTTCAAATTTAGGCAAAATTGTAGAATCTACGGGACAATAACAATTGTTCTTGCAAACACCTCCAGCAAAGAAAAAGCACAAACTACTGAATAAACACGAACAAGTAGAAGAAAACGTCATTTCAAATCATCAAATCTGTTTCCTTTTACGTGGCGTATTTCCAATTTAGAACTCTATGTTTTTATAATGCCAAAATATATATATTTTTAATATGCTAAACGTACTGATTCTGTAGTATCTAGTCACACCCGATAAATTTGAAATTTCCGGGCGTAATTCCACTTTCACAAAATTTGCGAAAGAAGATTCAAGCCGGAACAATAAACACAAAATTCCAAGGGCGTATTCCCACACGGCGTATCAACAATGTTGGCAGTTCAAAGGGTGTAAGATCCGGGAGGCCAAGTCATGAAATGGGATTAAGAACCGGTTTTCTCGATATGGTGATTTTTGAATTCCACCCTTTTCAAATCTTTGTCTAGATTTAGTCAGATGAGATAATAAATAAAATAAATAAATAAATACGTTATTAAATAAATAGGGTGAAATTGATTATTTATTCTAAATATGATAAATGATAATGCTATCGTTTTTTTTAAGGTGATTGTGATCACTACTAGTTCTGGCGGAGCTCCAAACACTTTGCGTCAGTCGCCCTATCCAACATCATGATTTTTCATACAGAAGTTTTTTGGAATTTTTCCAAGACACGATGGAACGCTGAGGCTCTAATCACTGTCACTTTCTCATTTAAAGTTACCATTTCACCTACCGTCCATGCAAACCAAGTCCAGTAGGGCCCAATTAAAATAAATGATTTTGTGTTTTGACTATGTTGGTATCGTAAAGCTTAAGTCTTAAGGTCTCCTATTTCTGATTAATGTCATCATCACCTCGAAATTTCAAAAGCACAAATATCACATACAACATACAATAATCAAACTGGAACTCTAAGTTTGCTGCAGTGCAGCAAACAGGGAGTTCCAATTGCATGAGCAATGTCGCAACAGTGTCCGAGATTTGTGCGCTAGAAAACCTGAAATTGCACTGCATCAAACAGGGATTGCATGAGCAATGTCGCAATTGTGTCCGAGATTTGAGCTCTAGGGCATATCAGTCATCATAACGGCCATTTTTCGACTCTTCAAGTAACCACCTTAAGGACTTCTACCGACACTACATAGCTCCTCTAGGCTGAGAATATTTTGGGTAATGATTTAATTTTAAGGAATTTTTGTGAACGAACTGTGAACAACTCTATTACCGCTCATAATGGTCAAATGATATAGATTTTCATAATTCTCTATGCCTTCGAAACGACCGCGCGTATTCGGTTTAGACTTTGATTTAAGATTAAGATTAAGTACGTATAAAGCAAATGATAACTAAGTTTATTCGATTGGACCTTTACACATAAATTAATTTACAAAACACTGTTACAGTGTATCTACGTTATACTCAGCTTAAAATAATCTTTTTCAAAGCCTTATCACTCCATTTCAGATACGAAACAGAATGCGTTTATAGCTGAGTTGCTAGGCTTTACTTCGTTGTTAACATGAAAGTTATGTAAACTCGCGAAAAAATATGGGACCTGGATATTTTCAGCAATTCAACCTTCTATATTTAGAACACTTCGATACACATTATACCTAAATCGTATTTATTTCCACCAGAGTCTTCATCCGGTTCGTTGAACTCAATCGCCCAAAATTCCCACTGTTTCATCGTATCGTAACCACCCGTCCGATGATCTCAATCATCACTGTCGCTCGCTGCCTTCGGCGGATATCTCACCAAAGAATTTCACTTTCTTATTAGCATAATCGAGCGCAACGCATCTCGCGCACAACGTCGAACCACACGGCAGAGCAACGCTCATCACCGTCACATCTACACATCGATGATGATGGTGGGATGCTGAGCTCAAGAGTCAAGATAACACGGCGAAAAGCCGTAAAGAAGAATCGACGAAAAACAAACCACCGACCGACTATCGGCTATACCTGGGTCTATTTTATTGCGGCCGTCGTTCCAACGTCAAGTACTAAACCAACCTGCTGTGGAAATTAGTTCCGTCCTCACAGAAATCGCAAAAATTTCCATCCATTGAGGAAAGTGAAACTCAATCTTCTACTGTATTTGATCAGTGGATTCCTCCGAATCAGAAAGCTTACCATGATTCTCCATTCACAGTTTGCTCACGTCACATGCCCCCATCCCGTTACTGCGTGTTGTTCGGTGTTGTGTTGCCCAAAGGTGAAATTATCACATTCACCGTCGTCACCGAATCACCGTAAATA